TTCATCAGCCTTCTTCTTTACTCATGCAAATCCCTGGAACGCGAACTTTCACCTTTATAAGTGCATTCAAATGCCAGCATCCTCGCGTGTCTGAAGTATCATGAATTTATTCTGCTCTATTGCAAATATTACCGGCTTTTTTTCTCCAAAACCGGATCTGTAGACATCAAAACCGGATTACTAATTATTGTATATTAGAAATGTGTCCTCTATTTATTTAACCTTGTTAGGTAGTAAAGAAAGCAATCTTTTGTAAATATTTCGAATACATACCGTATAATCTTTGATCAAATTAATCTCGATGGACATCAGATAGTGAGAAATATTGTCCAAAAATGTCTCCGAATGTTGAAAATAACTTTTCAAGTTGAGAAGCCTTCCTCATTCTTTCGAGTAGATCTTCTCTTCCTTGAATTGGAGCATTCCTTCTCATATTAGATTTAATTTGCGAGACGACCTCCTCGCAGGGGTTCAGGAAAGGAGAATACCTTGGTAAGAACTGTATCTCGTATGGAAATGTGTCGTAGAATTCTTGAATGGAATGGTGGAAACGAACGTTGTCCATAGCAATGATGTATTCTTCCTCGTCGTCTTCAAGAATGTCTGGAAGGGCTGCCAAAACATTTTGGATTACATTTCCATCTACCCTACCAAGCACTGCTTCGCAGCTAATGACGTTAACTGCATTGAAATCGAGGATTATAGTTATAACGTAGGTATACATATGCTGCTCTATTGCAAATATTACGGCCCCATTCAGTTTCACTCATTCAATTTCAGTTAGCATTTCCTCTGACTGGTCACAAAATGTAGAGGATGTCTGACCCGCTTTTCTTTGCTCCAGTCTGGGCAATTGACCCTCATCTGGTAGTTTACCTTCTGTTCTCCGCACCCCTGCAGTACGATCCACAATGGGTGAATGCGCTTGTGCGCCAATCACGCACTCCCTTACGTCGACCAGGAGGGGCTTCAAACGCCTCCGTTGGTGCCCGCAGTGAGGCCGACTACGCGGCCCTGCGCAGCCGACACGCCGGTCTGCTCGGACTGTGTGCTTTCATCCGTGCTTCCGTGCATGACACACCCTCATACCTGCCCGCCATCATTGCTGAAGTCGCAGAGCACGCCAACGATCCCCAGCCCATTCGCCAGTCTGTCTCCGACACTCTGATGGCCTATTCACGCAGTCACCAGGAGCGTTGGCGTGAAGATCGGCTACTCTTCAGCGAGGCC